GAGTGTTCATTTCCCTTCTTCTAAATCAAATGAAATTTTGATTAAAAAGACAGTTACATTTTGGATGTAATTGATTGGATGCTGGCTACTTTCTCTATTACAACTATAAAGTATTAAGGATTTGGTAACTCACTACCATCATCTTCCCAATTCTTATTCCATTCCCATGTGCTGTTCTTTGACTAGCAGCATTAGCAGCACCTGGGAACTTAGAAATGTAAAATGTCTACCTTACTTCAGACCTATTGAATAAGAAACTCTAAAGGTGAGGCCCAGCGATCTGTGTTTTAATATTCCCAACACGTGATTCTCGTACACTCTGAAGTTAGAGAACCAGTGCCTTACTTGATATCTGAGAAAACTAAAGCCTGATGATTAAAGTGAGTCGTCCAAGGTTACAGAGCCTGTTAGCATCAGAGACACATCTGGAGTCTTTGTGGTGTTGACCGTAACTTTAGACTATATCCTTCCTTCCTATATTTATCTCAGTGCTGCTACTTTGGCGAAACCAAGATTTATTGACCACCCATAGAATCCAAACACTACAGTAAATGTGATCCTGTAGAAGTGAGCCATACAGAAACACACCCCTTACTGAGGAGTTTCAGTAAGGATTTAGAATGGGGTTATATTACTTGTCCAGAGTTTATCTTTTGAAACCTGGTCTAAGTTTATAAGTGCGTTCTGTTCAGATATAAACCATGTATAATATGTAAACTATGTACATATATTAGCACTATTCTTTCATATTAGAGATCAAATCATATTTTCATGTGAACAGAAAAGATGCTGGCCCAGATAGTCAATCATTTTCAGCCAACTTGATGGATATATTGGACCAAAATCTTCAAGGTTTATTGCTCAGAGAATTTAATCAACAGTCGTATTTCTAGAACATCATATGTAAGAATGATTTTTTAAAATTTTCTGATAGTGTATGCTTTTTCAGTTTACAGAATGTCCTCATGCTAAATAACAAAGGCTTACAGATTCTTAGGTATGAAGAGGAACTTAGAGGTCACCCAACTGAACCTCCCTCTGAATCAGGAAACCCTGTTTTTGCATCCCTCGCTAGTTGTTATCATCCCTTTGTTTGCTCACCTGCAGTAACAGGGAGCTCACTCCTTTTTCTTTTAATTGAAGTATAGTTGATTTACAATGTTGTGCTAACTTCTGCTGTATAGAAAAGTGACTCAGTTATACACATAGATCCATTCTTTTTTATCTTCTTTTCCATTATGGTTTATCCCAGGAGATTGGATGTAGTTCTCTGTGCTATACAGTAGGACCTTGCTGTTTATCCATTCTAAATGTAATAGTTGGCATCTACTAACCCCAGACTCCCAGTTGACCCCTCTCCCTTTCCCACTCCCCCTTGGCAACCACAAGTCTGTTCTGTATGTCTGTGAGTCTGTTTCTGTTTTGTAGGTAGGTTCTTTTGTGCCATATTTTAGATTCCACATATAAGTGATACTATATGGTATTTGTCTTTCTCTTTCTGACTTCACTTAGTATTAGAATCTCTGGTTACATCCATGTTGCTGAAAATGGCATTATTTCATTCTTTTTTAGTATTCCATTGTATGTACATACTACATCTTCTTTATCCATTCATCTGTCAGTGGACATTTAGGTTGTTTTCATGTCTTGGCTATTGTGAACATTGCTGCTATGAACATAGGGGTGCTTGTATCTTTTTGAATTGTAGTTTTGTCTGGGTATATGCCCAGGAATGGGATTGCTGGATCATATGGTAGTTCTAATTTTAGTTTTCTGAGGAACTTCCATACTGTTTTCCACAGTGGCTGCACCAACTTACATTCCCACCAACGGTGTAGGAACATTCCCTTTTCTCCATACTCTCTCCAGCATTTGTTATTTGTAAACTTTTTAATGATGGCCATTCTGACTGGTGTGAGGTGGTACCTCATTGTAGCTTTGATTTGCATTTCTCTAATAATTAGTGATGTTGAGCATCTTTTCATGTGCCTATTGGCCATCTGTATGTCTTCTTTGGAGAAATGTCTATTAAGGTCTTCTGCCCATTTTACAATTGGGTTGTTTGTTTTTTTGTTGTGTTGTATGAGTTGCATACAATATGAGTTGTGTATTTTGGAGATTAAGCCCTTGTTGATCACATCATTTGCTAATATTTTCTCCCATTCCATAGGTTGTCTTTTTGTTTTTTTTGTATGGTTTCCTTTGCTGCATAAAAGCTTGTAAGTTTGATTAGGTCCCATTTGTTTATTTTTGGTTTTATTTCTATTGCCTTGGGAGACTGACCTATGAAAACATGGTATGATTTATGTCAGAGAATGTTTTGCCTGTGCTCTTTTATAGGAGTTTATCATGTCATGTCTTATGTTAAATAAGTCTTTAAGCCATTTTGAGTTTATTTTTGAGCATGGTGTGAGGGTGTGTTCTAACTTCATTGATTTACATGCATCTGTCCAACTTTCCCAGCACCAATTGCTGAAGAGACTCTCTTTTTCCCATTTTATATTCTTGCCTCCTTTGTTGAAGATAAATTGGCCATAGGTGTGTGGGTTTATTTCTGGGCTCTCCATTTTTTTCCCACATTGATCCGTATATCTGTTTTTGTACCAATACCACACTATTTTGATTACTGTAGCTCTGTAGTATTGTCTGAAGTCTGGGAGAATTATGCCTCCTGCTTTGTTGTTTTTCCTCAGGATTTCTTTTGGAAATTCTGTGTCTTTTATAGTTCCATATAAATTTCTGGATTATTTGTTCTACTCCTGTGAAAAATATCATGGGTATTTTGATAAGGATCACATTAAATCTGTAGATCGCTTTGGGTAGTATTGCCATTTTAACAATATTAATTCTTCCAATCCAAGAGCATGGGATATCCTTCCATTTCTTTGAATCCTCTTTTATTTCCTTTATTAATGTTTTAATATTCTCAGCATACAAGTCTTTCACCTCCTTGGTCAGGATTTATTCCTAGGCATTTTATTTTTTTGGTGCGATTTTAAAAGGTATTTGTTTTTTTACATTCCCTTTCTGATATTTCATTGTTAGTGTAAGAAAATGCAACTGATTTCTGAATGTTAATCTTGTATCCTGCCACTTTGCTGAATTCATATGTTAGATCTAGTAGTTTTTGTGTGGAATCATTAGGGTTTTCTATATATAGTATCATGTCATTTGCATATAGTGACAGTTTTACCTCTTCCCTTCCAATTTGGGTACCTTTTATTTCTTTTTCTTGTCTGATTGCTGTGACTAGGGCTTCCAATACTACATTGAATAGAAGTGGTGAGAGTGGGCATCCTTGGCTTGTCCCAGATTTCAGCAGGGTGGCTTTCAGCTTTTCACCATTGAGTGTTATATTGGTTGTGGGTCTGTCATAAATGGTTTTTATTATGTTGAGATATGTTCCCTCTATACCCACTTTTGTAAGAGTTTTTACCATGAATAGATATTGAATTTTGTCAAATGATTTTTCTGCATCTATTGAGACGATCTTGTTGTTTTTGACTTTTCTTTTACTAATGTGGTGTATTACATTGATTAATTTGCATATGTTGAACCATCCTTGTGAACTTGGGGTGAATCCCACTTGGTCATGGCATATGATCTTTTTTATGTGTTGTTGGACTTGATTTGCTAATATTTTGTTGAGAATTTTTGCATCTATAGTCATCAAAGATATTGGCCTGTAATTTTCCTTTCTGGTGGTATCTTTGTCTGGTTTTGGTATCAGTGTGATGGTGGCTTCATAAAATGTCTTTGAGAGTGGTCCCTCCTCTTCAATCTTTTGGAAGAGTTTAAGGAGGATTGGAATAAGTTCTTTGTATGTGTGGTAGGTAGAATTCTCCTGTGAAGCCATCTGGTCCTGGACTTTTGTTTGTAGGGAGTTTGTTTTGTTTTGTTTTGTTTTAATTACAGATTCGAATTTATTTCTAGTGATCGGTTTGTTCAGATTATCTATTTCTTCTTGATTCAATTTTGGTGGGCTATATGTTTCTAGGAAGTTGTCCATTTCTTCTAGGTTGTCAAATTTGTTGGCATATAATTGATCATAGTATTCTCTTATGATTTTTTGTATTTCTGCAGTATCAGTTGATATTTCTCCTTTTCATTTCTTATTTTGTTTGGGTTCTCTCTCTTGTCTTCTTGATTATCCTGGCCAGAGTCTTGTCAATTTTTTTACCATTTCAAAAAACCAGCTTTTGGTTTAATTGATTTTTTTCCTATTTTTTTAATCCCTATTTTATTTATTTCTACCCTGATTTTTATTATTTCCTTCCTTCTGATGACATTAGGTTTTGTCTGTTCTTTTTTTTCTAA